ATGGCTGCACTCAGCCTCGTGGCAATCACCTTCTCGAACACCTTCCCTATCGTGTCCAGGAGGCAGATGGGCCTGTAGGAGGACGCCTCGCCCGGCGGCTTCCCCGGCTTGGACAGCAAAAAGAGCCGTTGCCTCTTCCACCTCAATGGGAACGTACCCTCGTGGAGGCATCTGTTGAACAGACCCGTGACCTCGCTTGGGATCAGCGCTAGTGCCAGCTTCGTCGCACGGTTGGGGATCGCGTCCGGCCCCGGTGCCTTCTTGGGGTTCAGGTCTCTGCCTGCCTGCAGCACCTCTTCCTCCGTGACCTCGCAGATGTCGTCCAGGCTGTGCTCGGGGCTCGGGGATGTTGTTATGGGCCGCCCCTGCGGGAACAAGGTCCCAACGATCCCATCCAACACTACTGGGTCCGTTGGGGCTCTGCTTCCGGCGTTGATGCTCTTGACCACCATCTTGTAGGCGCCTCCCCAGGGGTCCTCCTCGGCGGCGTCGCACAGCTTGAGGAAGCATTCTCTCTTGCTGTCTCTAATGGCGGTCTTCAACTCCTTCCGCGCGACTTTGTATGCCTCGCAACAGGTTACTAGTCGCGGAGTTCCCCTGGCTCGTTGGAGCTGTCTTCTCGCGCCGTGGCAGATTTTGCGGAGCTCGGCGATGCCCTCGTTCCACCAGAAGACTGGGGCATGGTGCTTCCCAAACGCACTTCGCTGAAGCATGCTCAGGTCGCAGGCCGCTTCCACTGCCTCCCCCAGCTGGGTCGCCCGCTCGTTGGCTCCGTCTGACTCTGATGCCGTGTAGGTCCGGAGGGCGCTTGTAAACGCCTGTGTCCTCAACGTGGCCTGCCGATACGCCTTCCTTTGCTGAGTAGGAGCTGCTCTTACCCGATCCGGTCCGCCAAACACGCACTCGATGGCCTCGTGGTCGCTAGCGGTGTAGGCGTCGCTGATTCTCCAACTGGAGTTTCTGGCCAACGCGCTGCTGGCGTATGTGAGGTCGATGACTGACCCCATGCCTCCCCTGCTGAACGTTTGTTGGGATCCTTCGTTGAGCAGCACCATGTCCAAGGTAGCGAAGGCCTCCAGCACCGTGCGTCCTCTAGCGTTGGTTAGGGAGGACCCCCACTCCTGGGCCCAGGCATTGAAGTCGCCCCCGACTACGACGTCGCTTCGTCCTCGCAGGTCTCCGATCAGCTCGTCGATTATTCGGCTGAAGGTCTCCAGCGGGAGGCTGGGCGCCAGGTAGCAGCTGTAGACCCACTTACCGCCTACTTTGCCTCGGACGAACCCATCGGCCGACTTTATGTCGCAGATCTGGGGCGTCTCCACTCCGCATGCCCACAACGCAGCTCTGCCCGAGCGATCTGTGGCCCAGTCGCTGCAGCTGGGAACCCTATAGGGCTCGCTGAGGATTGCCACCTCCGATCCCCGCTCACGCACCGTCTGTTGCAAGAGGTCCTGCGCGGCCCTGCAGTGGTTCAGGTTGAGCTGGATCAACCGCATGTCTTGCTGCGTTGACCGACCCCGCTGAACGCTGCCGGGCAGCTTTTGCTGCCGGCCTGGTGCCTGGACTCCTTCTTGCCCGCTGCCGAGCAAATGAAGCATAATGGCTCCTTTATGCAGTCAACGGCTTTGTGCCCCTGCTCGCCGCATTTGATGCAGCAGCCGCTCCTGTCTATTGCACTCCTGCAGCTGCTCGCGATGTGCCCAGGTTCCAGGCATCTGTAGCACCTCGGGAGTCCTCCTCTTTCGCGGATCCTGCAAACGGTCCAGCCGATCCGCACCTGTCCCCGCTGCATTACTGCTTTGCCCAGGGAAAAAGGCAAGCTGACCACCGCCGTTTGGGACTCCGCGTAGCCGCGTCGCAGGCTTCGCACCCTGACTCGTCCCTCCTCAATCCCGAACTGGCTCGCGATGGCGGTACAGATCTCACGCTCTGTCGCGAGGGAGTCGAGATCGCGGATCTCCAAGACGACCACCTTCGAGTCCTCTGTCAGTGCACGCACTGCCGCTGCGTCGCCAAGTACGCGTGCGATGCTCTCTCTCATGGCCTCTGCGCTCTCTGAGCTGCCTTTTGCCACCTCCAGCAAAAGGTTGCCGTTGATGGTGCGGCGTACCCTGGAAACGCAGCTTCCCAGGTCCGACAGCTGGTTATCCTCCCTCCTGGTCACCATGGCCAGCACCTCGCTATACGTCTTGCCGCCCGCATGCACTACGACCGCGTCAGGGCGTGCGCGGTGCGCTGTCCTCGCCTTCTTGGCCACTAAACTCCACCCGCTTTCACGGTTTCCGAGGCTCTCTTGTTGGCTGGGGGCATTGCGCGTCGCCTTCTCCTCGTGTGGCTTTATCTGGGCCTTCTTCTGTTTCTTCGTGGGTGCGCCTTTGTGACCTGCTGGGCGCATAAGCGTTGGAGCCTGCCCCCCAGCGGGGCCATCCGACACAACAGGCTGGCTAAGCCTTCGCCACGGCTCGGTTTGCGATGCGGCATCCGTCTTCCAGATGGTCGTTGTCTGCTGCTCCTTGTCCGCGCTCTGAACGCTCTGTGAGCATTTCGAGCACCGGACTACGCCCGCTGCGCCCTCCTGAATGTCGCTGCTGCCCGCTGCGGCTGCCTGGTTTGCATCCTGTATGGCCAAATGCAGCGCCTTTATGCGCACGAACAGGGTTCTGGTCGCCTCATTTATATGGCGAGAGAACGTGATCTCCTCCAGAAGTCTACCCAGCTCCGCAAAGTTCTGCTGATCGGTAGCTTCCTGCGATGCCTTGCACTTTTTTGGAGGCGTCGATCTCTGCGAGCTCCCCGGGCTTGCGGGGTCCCTCGTCCTCTTAGGGGTCTCCCTAGGGTCCGGGTCCGCTCTCAGTCCCGCTGCTGGAGTTGACGCGCTTGCTGGCGAACGGATGAGCGAGCTGCCCTCGAACGGGTTCGCTGTTTCCATCTCTTCTACTTCTTGGTCTGCACAAGGTGGCTCCCGCGCTGGCCACAGATTTCCCCTTGGCTTCACGATGGGGGATATACCGCCCCTCCCCGGTCCCCGACGTCCCGTTGACCGGGACACCGCCTGAGCGGGGGATCGGAGGTTGGTCGGGTCCGTGACCTTTTCCCACGTGCCACCTGTGCTGCCTGGTTACGCCTCGAAGTATGCACTTCCTTATTTGCCTCGCGCTCAGCCTGGGGGTATGCAAGGCTTTTGCGTGATCTGCAAGTTTCTTGCACCCTGACAGCTGCTGCCTGCTACGGTGGAGTCGTGGCAGATGAGTGCCAGCTGGTAGATTCCTGAACTACCCAGCACTATCGATCGCAGTCAGCTGTTTGGCGAGTCGGCGAGGAAAAGAAAAACAAAATTTCGCGTGGAAATTTCGTTTTTTGTTGCTCGGAGAACACAGGAGAGAGCGTGGAACAGTGTTAAGTGTCCCCCCCGCCCCTCCTCCCGGGATGGAGCACCGCTTTCCGCCTGGTAGAAGCGCTCGGAGATGTTCCCCTGGCGTGCAGGCCTGGCTCGGTACGTACCCCTTCCCTTTGGACTCCTCCTTCTTACTCTTCCCCTTTTTTTAGGGTGGTTTATCGCCTGCAACTTGGCACTTTCGCTGGAGGATTTAAAAACACGACCGTTCACTTTCGGTAATCCGTTCGCTCTCCGGGACTGCCTTGTGCAGTGTCTTGGGTGTGTGACTGAGGGACTGCGTAGTACAGTGTCTTGGGTGTGTGACTGAGGGACTGCGTTGTGCAGTGTCTTGTGTTCGGGCTGATGGACTGCCTGTATCTTGTATTCGGGCTGATGGACTGCCTAGTGCAGTGTCTTGTGTTCGGGCTGATGGACTTCCTACTCTTTCGGCAGATCTTGGCCCTTTTATGCAGCTGGCGATCGCACCTGAGACCCGGAAATAATTAATTCATGCTGACTTAAAGTTATTGGGTAATAATAATTGTAGGGTGTGGTAACTAGGCCGAAGCTTGGTGCTTCGTTGACAATTTTTAGTGAGTCAGGGTGGTTTTGCTGATGCTGCATCCCGGAAGGTGCAGTTGGGAATTGGGTATTTGGTTTCAAAAGAAATGAGTTTTTGCTAACTCTGCATCACGGAAGTTGAGTGGTAAGTCGATAATTTTATGCTAGCCTGACTTATTGTGAAATAACGCCAATGATATCTCTTACTGCGAAATTGTGTCGGCTTGGCTTATTGCGACATTGTAGGCTGCTGATTTCACAATTGTCTCAAGAGGTGGGGTGTTGTTGATCGAGAGTTCTTAATTAATTGTGTGCTTAAGACTATTTTATTTCCGGGGTGCTGACACACCGCTATTTGTGGAGAACCGTGGCTAGAGCCATGGTCCGCTAGCTCGGTGTATATCAGTTTGGTTATTGTCTCCCGCCAGCGTGGATGCGCTGACCCTTCGCCGTTTGTGACGAGCCATGGCTAGAACCATGGTTCGTTACAGGTTTATGTAAGGTTTAGGTTAGAACTCTGTGGCAGGCAGGTCACTGTGCCAGACAGCAAAACGTTTAACTACTGTGATGATCGAATCTGAAGTGTCTTCTGCTTTCTCTGACGAGCCTCCCCCACAGCGGCTGTCGAACGCCGACAGAGAGCAAAGAACCAGATAGAGCATAAGCAAAGCAAACAAAACGGTAATAAAGAGAGACGTTACATTTAAGAGATGTTACATATGGTCTCATTGCTCATTGTGCTGCCATGGGCCGGCGCTTAGCCGAACAGTTATAATAAAAATAATAATATTTGAATCTGGTATATTTTCTAAAATTATGTTTGTTTGCAATTGTTGCTATGGAAGCTGTATGATATAGTATCCCGATTTTGACTACACTCGCCCGCGATATATAAAGTCCTTATTTGTGCAGAAATATAATATTTAATTGCATTAAAATATAAAAAAAAAGTTTTCCATACAAACAATCGATTTCATACCAATGGTTCATATGGCAGCTTTATGCTATAGCTATAGCTATATACGTTAATTTACAACAACAACAAAAAAATTTTGTGCAAACTTTCAAGCCTCTACCTTTACTGTAAGTATTTTTGGCCGCTCTCCCATAGAACGCCGCCCACTGTGCGGCGGCAGCTGCCTATGCATCCAAGATTCTGGATGTCTTGATGCTGACCGCCGCTGGATTGTCTTTATTCACTGCATGAATACACTACAATAGCAATATTTATGGGTAGTACACAATATTTATAATTTACTTACACCTGAAGTACATCGCGAACCCGATTCCAATGACGCTCTCGCATACATGTGTTTTTTAATGCTGTTATCAATGGCAAAGTACGTCGAAAACTGTCTAAATTTTTCGTGGTTACTTCCAGCATTTCCCAATGACGATCATAAAATTTCTTACTTAAAATGCTAAATTCTTTATACAAACTTAAAGCAAAATCTTCCATTTCATTAATATTGATTTTCCAAAAATTTCCCTTTTTCCAACCTTCCCAACTGGTTTGCCAGTCAAGTATTAGATCCCATATATTCTGTACAATTTTAACTTCAGCCTCCAGTTTCCGGAGGTCGACACTTTCAGGTTGATTAACATTAAATACTGACAAGTCACGCATTAAACTTTCCTCAAATTTAAAACAATCTTCAACCTTTAGAGCTATAATTTTGAGGAATTTTAGTGCAATTTTTGGATTTCTGTAAAAAAGAAAGTTAAAATAACAACAGAAAAATTTCCATTTTCATTAATTTACATATTAGCCGAAGTTGGTAACTTCAAATAAAAATCATCAAGAAATTCTTTAAGAATAATTTTAAACTTTTCGGCCTGCTGAAGCAAAATTTTCTTAAATTCTTCGCGATTGTTGTCTAACATCTCGTCCGCCTCTGCTAACTTCTTAAGATAGTGCTGCCATGCATTGTTTAGACCCAGAACTTTTTGACGTATTTCATCAAGGATGTCAACCTGATATTTGTCTAATACTCCAAAAAGTTCAAGCATGGGAGGAAAAGTTGCTTGCCTAATCGGCACATCTTCAATTAGTTGCTCGAAAAATTCCTTAGATGCTAAAGACTCTTTTAGCGTTCGGGGAACCAAAATTAGTTTTCGCTCGTTTCTCCGCATATATCTGTAGATCGCTTAAATACAAAAAAAAAAGAGAATATATTTATATAAGTTTATATCAACACTAGGGGGCAGACCCTGCGCACTCCCACTCGCCAATCCCCGGGTGGATCGCTTCGCTCGCTCACACAACCATTCTTCTGATCACTGCGTCTTATTATTACAACATAATGTTGCATTGATACTGAAATGATGAAAAAATACGAATTTCTTAAAAAAAAAAGGAAAAATACTGTCATCCGTGTAATGTTATTAGAAAAAGTCGTTACTAGTACAGCAGTGACTGATTTTTCCCGATATTTTATTTTCTGAGCCGTTTTTTCTTTCTGTTTCTTTCTTTTTTTGGTTGCCTTAGAAATTCGCATTTTATCATCCATTTCAGTATCAATTCAAAATTATGAGAAAAAAGCGCAGTGATCAGAACAATGGGTGTGTGGGCTGTATGGGTTGTGTGAGCGAGCGATCCGGGTCTTCGCGCTCGAGCTAAACGCAGGGGGTTTGCCCCTAGTATAAATATTAACTTTTTTCATATAAAATTTTTGATACTTACATCGTATTAATGAAAATGAATGGTTTACCAGAATTTTAATGTTCAACGCCTGCCATTTTTCAATCCAATCAAGTATCGTATTCTTTATGTAATTCTGATTCATAAGTATAAAGTAAACATGCGATATAGCATCAACAAAAGAAATGTCGTCTGCCATTGTGCTGTAGTATTCAATGCTTGCCTCAAAAATATCGGCTGTCATTGGAGTGGACTTAACACGTTTAGTAAATTCAGATTCCGATGTTTCCCATAAGGCCCTGTGACTATTCCAAAATGATACATAGCCATCAATCTCTTCACGCTCGTGTTTTATTTCTGCTTCAATATTTCGAATTATTCCCCTGCATTCCGAATCGTCTCGAAAAACTTTAGGAAATGGATGTGACTGTTGCTCTTTTGGCAATTTCATTTTATTAGCGATCCGAGGAAACTGTTCAAGTATATTATGAACTCGGTCAATATTAGAACTCAGTAAATTTGCAATTGCGTCCATGTCAGGATTTAATATAACCTGTCTATTCTTAATATCAGATTCCATTACGAGAATAGGTGCAGCCGCCATATCAGCCTCACGATGTAGGGCAGATGACACCATTGTCAAAGAATTTCTTGCGCTTGTGAGAAAAGCTGTTGCAAGCATATCATCAAATACATTAACAAAACTGTACCATTCAATTGCCATCTACAACAAAATAAAATTACATACGTGTAGGTGTTACAAATTATATGTTTTATTTGGGTAATGTCGCAAGTTTAAATCATACATGTAATATATTATTTACGTATAGTTTTATTGATATTAAATGCGGTGCAAAGGTTGTAATGTCCTATTTCAGGCTGAGGTATGCATCAGCCTGTCCAGGGTCCTGAATTACAAGATATTTATAATTCACGAGGACTTTATCGGGAAACCAGGAACTTTGCCAGAAAACTGAAATAGAAATCACAACACTTTTTGGTTCTTTTAATTTTAATAGTTTTCTTTATTTTTCCGTATGATTATTCTACCCGGTTATGTTAGGTTTTACTTGTACTACGACGCGGATGGTGATTTTGACTGCCTCTCGCGATGGCTGATTGACTGACTCCCGACGATGGCTGGTGGACTGCCTCCCACGATGGCTGGTGGACTGCCCTTTTTTATAGATCGGCCGGCCTTCCATGAATGTCTTATAGATATCTTATTTCTACTCCAGACCGTGGGAAGGGTTCTTACGTAAATCTCTCTGGCCGAAGTATAGCCTGCGCGTGCAGACGGACTGATCGGTACCAGATGGTTACCAAATCATTCCCTGCAGTCAGTGTCCAATATCCAATAATCGATGGTTACCTAAGCACTCGCCTCCCAATGTCCCAGGTAAGGTGATGGGTGTGCACCAGTACCGTGGGAAAGGAATTTCGTTGACGCTTCGGGAATATATATTGAAAAATATTGGAATATTTATTTATTTAATATTATTTTAGGTTCTTATTGCGTAAACCCCTTCTGCTGGTCTCCTGTCTTTTGCCGTGTGCTGAGGTTGCATTTTTGCTGGGTGTTGATCGCTTCACCTGGGAGTAGCGTTGGCTGCTTCATCTGTTTGTGACGAACCATGGGATCCATGGTTCGTTACACCCCCCCCTTTCTTCCGGGTGGGTGGTGTTGTAGGGCGCCTTTTTCCGGGTTATCCTGTCCTGTGGCTTGTGCCGAGTCTCCGGATTCGTCGCTGTTAGTCTCGTCACTTTAGCGTTGCGTCGGTAACGTTATATTTTCTACTGCGGTTGTGATCGTGGCCTTTCTGCTGTTCTGGGTGCTTTGTAGTTGGTGTAGTTGGTGCTTGGTGGGTCGATTATCCCATATGACGATGGTTTTCTCGGCGGTTTTCTTTGGTCGTTATTTGTCCAGGCATTCTCGAATCTGCGGGGCTATGTCGGGTGGCCAAGGATCCGTCGGTAGTTCTGGGTCGTCTTCGGTGGGTTCGGTGGCTCCGGGGTCAAAGGTTTGATTCGGGTTTTTCGGAAGGATGGGTTTGTCAAATGTGCTTGACGGATCGATGCCCCGGTGGTAATCGCTTATGTGGGCGATGATCGGGGAGGCGTTGGACGTGGGTAGAGTAGTTTTGTAGCTCTGGCGGAACACTTGGGTGGTATTGTCTCCAGACTGGTGCATGAACTGGCTGGTCTCGACGATGTCTCTTTTGTTGGACCAATGGCTTGTTTGGGCGACGGATGCTTGGGTCTGTGGGGCCAAGTCCGGCGGCCACGGCTCCGGGACTGGTTCGGGCTCATGTTCGGTTCGATCGGCGGCTTCGGAGTCAAATGGCTGGCTGGGGTCTTCGGGTAAGAGGGTTGTGTCGAAGGAGCTGTGCGTTTCGATCCTCCGTTGGTAGTCGCTTATGTGGGCGACGATGGGTGTGGTGTCGACCATGGGTACGATGTTTTGGTACGCCGGGTGTAGTACTCGTGTTATACTACAGCCAGACTGGTACGTGAACAGGTGAGTCGCGATGACGCCTCTGGTATCACAACAACGACTTGTATGGGCGACGAAGATCTCGGACATGGCTCTAGGCATGGCTCGGTGCATGACGCTAAAAATCATGTCAGTACGCGGAAGGTACTCCATTTTGTGGGCGAGGATCGGTGTGGCGTCGGCCGTGGGTACGACAGGGCTGCGGTCGGTGTATCGTGGGGCCATCGTACTGGTTTCCGGGCCCGCGTTGAGGGGCTCTGTGGATATCAGTTCAATTATGGGCCCCGACCAGGGTGGGGTCAGCGTGGCTGTTTCCCTTGTTGCTGGGCTGTTGATCTGTTGCTGCCGTTGTCGGTGTCGATTTTGTTGTCTTGGTTCAGGGCTGATTGTCGTCTCTGAGGGTGTTTCTATGTTCACTTTCTCCTGGGAGGAGAGGGTACTTACATGCTCTGTTGCTGGACTTGGACCTGGGCTTCCTGTGTCGAGCGCCGGGTTCCAGTGCGTTAGTGCTTGTCTCGTGGGTGAGATTCTCGTAGTTTCTTTGGGGTATGTGTCCCCTGTGGTTGGCCTAGGACGCGGTTGCTCCGTAGTGACCGTGGGACTCGTTTTCCCGTTTGCTTGATTGTTGTTTCGTGTTGTTGGTTTCGGCTTCATGTTCGTGGGCCGGCGCTTTGCCTCTGCTGGGGCTGGGCTGGGTGTCGTGTTCTTCGTGGCGATCTGGGTCGTTTTGTTCGTTGGGGTAGGTCGTGGTCGTGTGTTCGCTGAGGTTTGTATGGGTGTCATGTTGGCGTGGCTGGGTGCCGAAATTGTTGGGATAGGTTGCGGACGTATGACGGCCGCCGTTGGCTTCAGTTTCTGGTGTCGGGGTTCGTGGCCTTGTACTCTGTTGGTCGGAACGGTGTGGATATGTGGTGTGTGGCACTGATCTCGTAATTGTAGAAGTGTGGTACCGCACTGGATCGTTGTTTCAATGGCGCATAGGAAGTCCATGCCGACGATAACTTGATCCAACATGTTTGGTAGGACCAGGAGGGGTATTTGAACTTCTCTTTGATCCAGTCTGATGTGCGCCAGTAGAATCTGGGTGATCTCTCTGACCGAGCCGTCGGCCAGGCGTATGCGGACGCATGCATCTTGGAGGTTGGTGTTGTTGTCTAGTTGTCGGGCGAGGTTTGCACTGATAAAGCTTCGGGATGCCCCTGTGTCGACGGTGGCTTCCGTTGCCTGTCCTCGTATGGTTACCATTGCCACTATCCGGTTCTCGTTCATGTGTAGCGGGGTTTTTATTCGTGGGTCGGGGCAGACGTCGTTCCCGGCTGATCCCGTGTCAGTCGAGGACGCGAGTCGTTTCCCGACGTGTTCTGGCGACAGCAATCGATGGTCCGGGTGCCGCGCTTGCCACATTCCCAACAGAACAGGATCGAGGGATTTTGGCATTCATATGCCGCATGCCCTGCTTCGCCACACCGGCGACAGGCTGCGCGTGGGTTGGCGATGGGGGTCGTGATCATGCGATGTGCTACCTCGGGCTTTGTCGTACTCACTGGGTTGGATGGCTGTCTTCTTGGTGAGTCTGCCGAGTTCCAATGAGGCTTCCGGAATGGTGTCCGATTGGAATCGTCGCTCCTCTGATCTGTCGTAGGCCGTGCGTATCTGGGCGTGTGTCGTGGTGGTGCGAGAGTGCTCGGGATGGTCCGCTCTTGAATACTCTCAAACTCTGTGGCCAGCAGTGTTAGCTGTGACAAGTCCTGCAGTTCGTGGCGGCGCACGTACATCTGGTAGGCTGGAAGGGCGTTGTCGTAGATCCTGGTTAGCTCCTTGGTTGCGTCGTACCCAGCGTGGTGCATAAGTAGACGTATCTCGATGAGGAAATCTTTGAACAGTTCCCCAGCCAATTGCTTCCGGGCTCGGATCCGGTCTTCCAATTGTTCAAAATACCGTGGTGGCAAGAAGAACGTTAAGAATTCCTGGCGGAAATTTTCCCATGAGGAACTTTGTAGGCGGCTGGTGCGGAACCAACGACTGGCACGGTCTGTGAGAAGTTCGGCCATGGCCCGCGGCAGATGGTTTGTGTCCACCCCATACGAGAGCGCGCGTTCTTCGAGCAGTTCGATGAATGATAGAGGGTCATCTTGGCCGTCAAACTGGATTCCCCACTTTCGGATGCGTTCCGCCATTGGTGCAGCGTGGTTGTAGTGGTGCCCTTCCATGGGTCGGTCGATCGCTGGCAAGATCCTTGGCACGGGTGCTGGGTGGGTCTCTGTAGCTAGGGGCCTTGGAAACGGGGCAGCAGGAGTGCGGTATTCGGTGGCTGCGGGGACTCGTAGTCCGGTCTTAGGATCCATTTGGAGAGTGTCGGATAGTCCAGGAGTAGTGGGCCGTGGTGACTTGGAACGAGAGCGTGAGGCTGGCTTGGCATAGTGCCTCTCGAACTCTCCTAGGCGGACCCAGGCTTCTTGCGCGAGTGGCCCGGCGACTAGAGCGGCAAATTTCCTTCGGCGTTCATCGACCGTTCCTTCGCTGCCGAATCCGAATTCTTCGGCGAGGACTTCTAGTTCGTCCCGACGGAGCTTGTGGATCCAACCGGTGCTGACCCCTGGATTGGTAAAGTGTCCCGCAGGTATACCTCCTCTGGTTGTTCGTCGTCGTGATGTTCCATGTTGATTTCTGTTGATTTTTGGCACTGAGTCACTGTTAAACGGCACTTTTAGGATCGGCACTGCGTATACTTTCGCGTTTGTTTTCGCGCCCGGATTATGTAAGTGCGCGGACTTGTTATCGATTCAATTTTCTTTTTGATGGCAGTGGGTCTTTAATCCACGAAGTCCCTGATTTCGGTTTTCTTGAAGTTTCCACGAAAAATCCTTTAAAGTCCCTGTTCGGGCGCCACTTGTAATGTCCTATTTCAGGCTGAGGTATGCATCAGCCTGTCCAGGGTCCTGAATTACAAGATATTTATAATTCACGAGGACTTTATCGGGAAACCAGGAACTTTGCCAGAAAACTGAAATAGAAATCACAACACTTTTTGGTTCTTTTAATTTTAATAGTTTTCTTTATTCTTCCGTATGATTATTCTACCCGGTTATGTTAGGTTTTACTTGTACTACGACGCGGATGGTGATTTTGACTGCCTCTCGCGATGGCTGATTGACTGACTCCCGACGATGGCTGGTGGACTGCCTCCCACGATGGCTGGTGGACTGCCCTTTTTTATAGATCG